GATCTCCCTCAACCCAGTGGCCAAGGGAGAGAGATGTCTGGCCTGTCCCCCAGCTCATCAACATCGTCCTGCAGGCTCCAGGGATCCCAGTCCTTCCTCTCTTCATATAGCCCCCAGCAGACTGCGGGGCAGGCATCTCATCCTAGCTCCACATCTTCCCCCACCAGGCTGGGGTTTTTGAAGGCTATTTATTTCTCCTGGTCCCCAAGCCCATAACCTCAGAGCTGCCTTGGATGCCTGCTGTCCCAGGCACTCTATAAATAATCAGACAGTAAAGATGTCACACCACCAGCTTGGGCCACTGCCCAAGCAAGCCTGCGGCTGGCCCTTCCTCATGGGCACCTCCACCCGCACGCTGAGCTGGGACTTACTACCGCTCGCCCCATATAGGGTTCCTGCAGTCTGGGGCAGGACAATCTCCACCCTGCAGCACTGAGCAGGGATTTCAGGATCAACTGTTTTCTCCTGTCCTCACCAGGCCCTTCCTTCCTCTGGAAGGCCCCAGGTAGCCCAGGAGACTCTCCCTTTTTGGAAGCTACTTCGAAGGAAAAGGTGACGGTAACACTGTGGAAATAGATGGATCTGGATTCCAGTGTCTTGACTGCCACTTGCTAATTCTGGGACCTTGGAGAAGTCTCATAACCTCTCTGGGTTTTAGGTACCTCATTTATAAAATGCGGATATTAAGATGAACCTCATAGGAATGTTGTGAGGATTCAATAAGGTGCTAGATGAAAGCACATAGCCCAAGCTCTGGACATGTTATAATATACTTTACAAATGGGCACCATCTTGTTATTATTCTTGTTATTTGTTTTTTATCACTATGGCCACCAAATTGCATGCTCCATGAGGATGAGGACTGTGCCCGACTTGTTTTCTCACTCCCTAGGACAGTGCCTATCACACTGAATACCTACTTGTTAAGTGAATGAAGGACTATAATGATGCTGACTGATTAGGGCCAGTGTATGTTTAAAGTAGCCAGGACTGGAGAACATTTGGAGATTTCAGTAGTGTCAAGTGTGACCATCTGTGTTCTCTTAAAGTTTTTCTTTTACCACCTTCCGACAACTACCCCACAGGCAGTGACTGCACTGGAATTCACCCATGGGGCAAGGACTTCCACACCTGCCAGCAGTGCAGAGCCAAGCAACACCTTGCTCCAGGTGCTGCACCTATAATTAGGGCAACTTTGACCCCCAGCCCAGCTCTCCTTCACAGCAGAATGCAAACAAGGTCCAGTCCAATCAAAAGGTACGCCCTATTAATATCACCCATGTAACAGATGAGGAAACTGAGGCACAGAGGGTTACATAAACTTGTCTAAGGTCACATGGCTAGTTAGCACTGGAAGTAGGATTCAAACCCACCTATTGCTTATCATAGACAGATCATATGCAGATCTTATATACTCTGTACGGTAGCTATTAATATCTTCATATACAGATAAGGAAGTTGAGGCTCAAGGAGGGTTAGTAACTTGCCCAAAGCCACACAGCTACTACAGTAATCTTATATAGCATATGAGCATTTGACTCCAAAATTGGTACATCAGGCAAAAGTTGCATAAAGTTCAAATTGCTCTTCAGTTCCCTGAAATCGGCTCCTTGGCTTTCTTTTTATATAGCCTAGTACAGTAATTTTTACCTAAACACCCTTGAGTTTGAGAGCAGATGAGCTGAACTGAAAGAAGGACAAGAAGGAAAGTCTAGGCCAGGTGCGGTGGTTCATGCCTGTAATCCCAGGACTTTGGGAGACCGAAGCAGGCAGATCACCGAAGCAGAGTTTGAGACCAGTCTGACCAACGTGGAGAAACCCTGTCTCAACTAAAAATACAAAATTAGCCTGGTGTGGTGCCACATGCCTGTGATCCCAGCTACTCAGGAGGCTGAGGCAGGAGGATTGCTTGAACCCGGGAGGCGGAGGTTGCGATGAGCCGAGATCACGCCACTGCACTCCAGCCTGGTGACAGAGCGAGACTCCATCTCAAAAAAAAAAAAAAAAAAAAAGGAAGAAAGCCTGGGAGAAGGCATCAGGACATCAGGACACAACATCATGCAGCTGCTTCCTCCTTTTCTATCATGATTAGCCCCCTGGCACACATGAAGCAGGGGAGGAGATGTGAAGCATTCCTACCAGGCTCACTCAATTGAAATTTAATGTTAGTGCCCACTGGTCTTAATATATATGAATAGATGTCATTGCTAAGCCAATTAAATGTGTAACATATGTAAAAGCACCTGCACAGTGATGGGCCTAGAGTAGGTGCTCAATATATGTGTGCAAAATTTGAATCTACAATCGTTCATTCGTTCAGTACGTATCGAATTTCTACTAGGGGCCAGGCCCCAGGGGAACAGCAGAGAACAAGACAGACAAGATACCTGTCCTTATGGAGCCAACATTCCAGTCGAGGAAACACACAATGAGCAAGGAAACTACTAGATATACAATACAATGTCACATAGTGATGGGAAGAAAAATAAAATGGATGGGGGAAAGAGAGTAGTGGGGGCGGCTCTTAGATAGGGCAGGGAGGGCGTCTCTGAGGAGGTGGCATCAGAACCAAGAACTAGTCTGGCCCGGACAAACCGCCCACACCATTGTCTGAAAAGTACAAAACCTGGTCACCTGCTCCCTGCCTTTCCAAATTCACATTTTATTTTGTGGCCTCCACTGAACAGCCATCACCGCCACGCCCTTAGGCGTTGGGCTCATGACCTCTTACAGTGGGATGGTAGGGGTAAGGAGGGGCTGCTAATGTGACTCCTCTGTAAAAGGCAAATCAAGCTCATGCCCATCTGCCTGACACCAGGGCCCCAGGTCTCTGTACCACAACATGGCTTCGGTGCTAGAAAAAATCCAGCTGTAGCTGTGGAGACAAGACACAGCAATGACTTGAACCAGAGTATTGATTCTTGAATCTCATGATGCCTCTGATCCTCAGGGTTCTGGACTCAGGAAGGGTCCTCAGATACACCTAGCACTTCACATTCACTAAGTCATGCGTGATCATCATCTCATCTGATTAATTCCTTTACTCTACAGGTAGGCAGACTGAGGTCCAGAGGCCATGAGACTCTCCACAAACCACAGGGCATCAGTGGTGACAGAGATAAGAGCTCAGCTCTCCCAGCTCCCGGTCTGGTGCTCTTTATACCAAAAGTCCACCTTCCAGTTCACGGGTAATGCAAAACTTTTGTTTGGTCTGGGGTCGTTTCAACAGTAGATGCACTTGTCTCTGTGCAGGACCTGCCTCCCAGAGGAATAAGGTAGAGGCGAGAAGAGGGTGCGGACAGACCAAGGGCTAAAGATGTCCTGGGGATGGGGTGGCGATGGTGAGTGTGCCTGCTGAGCCCAGGAGATGGACCACAGCATGGGGCACTCGGGTGGGGTCCAGAGGGGAGGAGCCACCTGCAGGGACAGCAAAGCTGAAGAGGGGACAACATAAAGCCACTTCTGTCTTTACCTCGCATTGCCTTTGCACCACGTGCATTTGAGTGCCGTGCAAAGCTTCTCACGTTTTATTCCTAAGTCTGAAACTGCGTAGGGGGAGGAGGGAGAGGAGAGTTCTTTCATTCTCTAAGGGCCTCCCGTGTGCCCTATGCTGGGAACTTCTCCTTTCTCATTTTATTTCCTTCACGCAGCAACCTTGTAAGACGGCGATTCTCATGCCTGTATTACAGATGGGGCCTGAAGCTCAGTGTGGGGGCAGCTTGCGTAGCAACCCCCTCCACCCTCTCGCCCCAGGCCACCACTCAGAGGTGCAAGGGAGATTCCAGCCAAGGTCTGCAGAGCAGAAGCCTGTGCTCTCTGAGGCCTGGTCTCCCACGTGGCCAGCAGGAGGGCTCCTCTGGAAGGGTTTCCAGGGAGGCCATGCGGGCTGTCTAGATTGATAGCGAGCTCCCCACATCCTATAACCCCCTCCCTGCCAGGCCTGTGCCCGTCGCTCTGGCTGCAGGCGGGGAGCAAGGCTGGGCACTAATTTACACTTGTTTAACTACAGCTGCCGCCCTCCCGCCATGTGTCTATCCGCCATTTATTGCGCTTTCCAAAGCCCTGCCCGGCACTCAGGGGCATTTCCTGCCTGCGCTAATGGAGGAGAATAGACGCATTATATGTGAATAATGGATTATGATGATACAATTTGGGTCTCTTAGCTCTCACCGAGCCTAGGCTGGCCTTGCATTATTGATAACTTACACACACCTTCCCGAGCGTGTTTATGTAAATATTTAATAGGGAAAGCAAGTTAACCCATTGGTTTCAGCCATTTCCATAGCACTAGAAGTAAGGGCCATAAGGGGTGACTTGGGGGGCGCCCAGCAGGAGTTAGGTCTCTTTGGAAAAACCGGGAAGTTGCCAAGACGCTCGCTTGGTCACAAGGAGTGTATGGTCTTGAGGTTTGGGGTTTTCCAAGAGCTGAAACAAAAGGGTAGGGCTGCCTCACTGTGGGAGATCACCTCCAGTCAAGAAGACAAGTTGCCCAACACAGGCAGAGCACGGCGAGGATGTTGGGATGAGGGGTGCAGATTACTGGAACGCAGCTGTGGTGGGTGTCACCACTGAATAAATCGAACCGTTGCTTCCTATCTTACATGGCCGATTTCCTGCGCTTCCCCATGGCTTCCACATTTCACACTCCATTGCATGTTGGAAGGCAATGCTTTAGAGACTGCCTGGGTTTCACTCTGGGCTCCACCATATGCCCACTGGATGGCAAGTTAGTTAATCTCTCTGTGCACTGGTTGTCACATCTGTAAAATGGGAAACTAATTTATTTGTCTCATAGGTACCCATTGTTGGTGCAAGAATTCAGTGAGATAATACATCTGAAGTCCTTTTACAGGGCTAGGCAATGCTACCTATTACCATATAAGCTGCCACTGGAAAGATGCACACACTTTCACATGAGTCTTCATGCCACAGCACACATTAGCCGGCAGTGTTTCTGAGTGGTGTAGAACATAGTTGTGCATCCCAGACACAGTGAAATATGGTTATTTTGCTAATATCCTATTTCTGGCAATTAAACTACTATGTCTCCTTTGGGAAATCACGAGGGTGGGTATGTGCCCCATCTGCTTATGCAGAGGGTGGAGGACCAGGCAGAATCGGGAGGTCTGAGCTGGCCTCCCTCTGCACCCCGCCCCAGGCACCTGCCTCCTCTCCAGCTTATCTCCCCCATCCCCTTCCCAGGTTGCCATTGACAACCTGCCATTCTCAGAGCATGCTTCTGAGCTGCCAAGTCTTCACACCTGCTGGCTCCTCCACCTGAATGCCCTTCTCTCCATCCTCTTCCTGGAAACCCCAACTGATGCAGGATACAGTTCAGTCATCACCTCCTTCATCCAGTCTTCTCTACTTCTTTGTCTTAACATTGAAATGGCCAGCATGTTCTTCTACCTGCCCGCTAGACATGCAGGCCTAAGGTCCCGGGAGGCAGATGCCGACAGATGCATCTCAGTATGCCTGGCACCTCCACCCCACAGGGGCTGTGCTGGTTGCTGTTGGAATGCTGCAGGGCACAAAACGGATAATGCTGGAGGGAGAAGACAGACAGCAAACACAAGGCTCAAGAAACTCTAGTATGTAAGAAGAGGACACACATGATGGAAGAGGGAAGCCGCCATGCAGAGTGCCTGGTGCACTTTTAAATGGGAGAGTCAAGGTAAGCTTCACTGCAAAGGTGACCTCTGAGCAGAGGTCTGAGGGAGGTGAGGAATGAGAAGAGTGAACAGCCAGTATGAAGATCCAAGGTGGGAGTGTACTGCCGGTGTGTTCAAGGGAAGCACCGAGATGGGCGTGGCTGGCACAGAGTAAGAGAGGGAGGTCTTAGCAAGTGGGAGGTTCTGGTAGTGCAAGGCCTTGTGGCCTTGGCAAAGACTTTGCCTCTTGGAGGATTATAAGCAAGGTGTGACTGGGTCTAGTGTTTGTATTTTAAAGGGATCATCCCGGCAGCTATGTAGAGCATTACTATATGGGTCAAGTACCGCAGCAGGGACAGCAATTAGTAGGCTACTGCAAGAGTCCAGGTAAGATATGATGGTGCCTTATGCTAGGGTGGGAGTGGGGGAGGTGGTGGGAGATGGCCAGTTGCTGAGGTTCTAACAGAGGTGGAAGATGGAGCTGTCCGGGTTTCCTGACGGTTTAGGTATTTGAAGTGAAAGAAAGAGCAGAATCAAGGACGACTCCAAGGTGTCACCAGAAGGATGGAGCCGTCATTAACCAACTGGGGAAGACTGTAGGGGTGGTGGGGAACAGGTTTGCAGAGGGAAAGATGAGGAATTCTGTTTGGGATGCATTATTTGACATATTAGATCTGAGATATCAAACATCTAAGGGGACAGTTCGAATGGGCAACTGCTTGTAGGAGTCTGGAATTCTGGGAAGAGGATCGAGGCTAGCATTAGAAATATGAAAGCCATCAGCATACAGATGGATGAGCTCAGAAGTGAGAGAGTGTAAGGAAGAAAGAGCCACCGAGGCCTGAGCCCAGTGCGCTGCAAGGAGTAAGGTGGGGAGGGAGGAGAACCAGCAAAGGATGCAGGAAGAAGCGCCCATGGCAAAGGCGAAAACCCACTTGTTGAAACTTTAGTGCGTTGGCACTGTAATAAACAATTGTAATAAAATAGCCGCCATTAATTGAGTACTTACTCTTTGTTAGACACTTCACATAGAGTTTTCCCTTTGATCCCAAGATTTGGCAGTTCTCATTCCCATTTTACAGATAAGGAAACTGAGGCTCAGAAAGGTAAAGCTGCCTGACCAAGGTTTCACAGCTAGTTATGGCAGTGCAGCAAAAACCCACGCTTCAAGTCAGCCCAACTAACATGTTTTGACCATCTGCTGAGAGCTGAGCGCTCTTGATGGACATTATCCTATTTAACGCTCTCTATACCCTTGCAAAAATACGTGTCATTTCTACCCATTTTACAGATGAGGAAACTGAGGCTTGGAGTCTCATTAAGCGACCTAACCAAAAGTTACCCAAGGGAAAATTGGCTGGTGGAGATTTGAATCCTGGTCTCCTGCCTTCCTTTAGACACTTGGGGTGCTCCCGAGTCTGCATTTGGAGAAGGGAATAGCATTAAGGTATCAGCTGAAGCTTCTCAGCTTGAAATTCTAGTCCTCTTCCAGAGGCCAGATGTTAGGCTGGTGTCATGGGGCTCTCTGCTGAGTCCTAGGCTGGGAACAGAGAGGGAAGGGACTCTGTTACCAAATCCCAGACCGGGCACTCCCAGGGAGTCCCTTCCTCCCCACCTGCCTGGCATCTGGCCTCCGCCAGCTCCTGCCTGGCTGCCAGATGTACCAGCTGTGGCTCCTCTCCACGGAGAGTCTCATTTATTAATTAACGTGGACGCCAAGGGGGCAACTTCTCAGACCCAGCCTCAGAGCAGATCTTGGCACATTTTTCAGACTTTGTTTAATAATTTATCATCTTTTAATCATAAAAATAATTAGCACAAGAGCGATAATCTGTGCTCTGCTGAGAGCAGACCAACGGAGGAATTTTCAGACAGTTCCAGAACCCAGAAAGCAGAGCTTTGGCAGCGAGGAGAGGAAGGTTGGCTCCAGGCCAGGTGTCCTCTCCAGGACTGGTCCCTGGGAGTCAGATGTCAAAGATGCCGTCTGGCTTTTGGGGGAACTCGAGGACCATGCTGCTTTCCCAGGAATTTGAGGCTCCTGCTCCTAACTTTGACCTGGCTCACTGGATAGCTCTCTGGGAAGTTCCTTCTCTCTCTGGGTCTTAATTTTCCCACCTGTAAAATGGGAGTTCAATTAGACAATGAGCAAGGACACTTTTGTTTAAGGCGCCATGATCCAATGAGATAGCAAATGAGAAGCAGTGGCTGTGGCAGTAAAGACAGTGAGCTGGAGTGCCCATGAGAGCCATGAAGCCTTCCGCAGTCCCCGCCGCCTCCCACCCCCGTCGGCTTCTGCATCCCCAGGTGCTCAAAGAGCCCTGGGACAGACTCAGTTCCATCAGGTATAAGCCATGTGGCCTGGGGCAAGTCCATCCCCTCTGTGAGCCTGAGTTTACTCAGCTGAAAAGAAAGAGTGATCGCTCACAGCTCTCCCAGAGAAGATCCAAGGGAGAGGATGATGGGGTTGCCCCTTGGAGACATTGATCTCATTCTGCCCCACATTTAACTGCCACTCCCCGTCCAGACTTTGGGTTCTAGAGGGCGGGGCAGGACTGCCTCATCCTCTGTGCCTAATAGCCCTGGTAGTGACCAAATGAACTAAATGTCCTGCCAATTCCAGCAACCTGTCTTGAGATTGTTCGACCTGTACAGGCAGACACATCCTCCTCACAGGGTGGCAGCAAGGTCCAGTGACTCTGGATAAAACCACAGTAGTTCAAGAAAGCGACTCCTCCTCTTCTTGTGGGGTCTTGTGCAAGCTGCTTTGCCTCCAGCTGCCTCAGCCTCTTCATGTGAAATTGGGGATATCTGTCTCAGATTGGAGGTCCCCAGAAGCAGACCCAGAGACAAGAATTCAAGATCAAGTCATTTATTTAAGAAGAGATCCTGGAAGCTCCAATAGGGAGTGAAGAGGTGAGACTGGGAAGGGGAGGAGAGCAACGAAAGGCGGGTGAATTAGCTGGTGACCACGCTGGACCCAGGCCCACTGGGGCCATCTCAAGGGTTGGCAAACTACAGCCCACAGGCCAAATCAGGCCTGCCTCCTGATTTTGTAAATAAAGTTTTATTGGAACACAGCCATGCCCACTCACGTCTGTGTTATCTATGGCTGCTTTTCTGCCGCAATGACAGAGTTAAATGCTTACAACAGACACCATATGGTCCTCCAAGCCTAAAATATTGACTCTCTGGCCCTTTGCCAACAAACTTCCCCAGCCCCTGGTCTAGAACGTAGTGTAGAACTGACCTCAGAGCTGTCTCCTTTGAAGGACAGGAAGCTGGGCTCTTTATGCTTCCACCCCAGTCCATTGCTGACTGTTCCTAGGGGCCCTAACACCTGCTCCCCTAAACATACACTTCCAGTGCCAGGGAAGCACACTCTGGCAGCCAGAGGAACCCCAAGGAAGAGTCGTGGCAGGTACAGGGCAGTGAACGCCCAGGAGAAGTTGGAAACCCAGGGCCGCAGCTGCAAGATCTCACTAAACTGTTAGGAGGACTAGATCAGATCATGTTTGGAAGTACCAAGAACAGGGAGTGCTCCCTAATACTCCACACCTTCCATCATTACCACCGGCCCCTAACCAAAGTCATTCCTGGCTGGCTCATTCCCAAATGATATGTGTTCACCTCCTTGCTGGGCTTCTGCCTGCCTATCTTTCTTAGGTGCTGCTGATTTTGGAGCTCCAGGTGACTCTGGTCCTGGGAAGAGGGTTCCTCTCCAGGCCCCAGCTCTGGTCACAACTGCACTCGCATTGTCCTCTCCCTGACTCCGGCGGGCAGCCCTGCCTTTCCTGCTTCATTCTCAAGTGCCTCCTGACTCCTGCCTCCTGCCTCCTGGGACTCCATAAGCCCACCCACCTGGGCTCCGTCCTCCTCGGCCTGAATTCTGGACCTGCTTGAAGTGGGCAGGGGACACTGCCCTCTGGTCTCCATCCCAGCAGGCAAGTCTTCTCTCCCTGGTCAGTTATGTCATCCCTCGACCCCACCACCACTCTTAGTCGATTCTGCTCTTGCTCTCCTGTGCCATCCAGAGGCTGTCAGCACCACCTGGGCCCAGCCCTCACTCCTGGTGAGTATTGCGGGCAGTCGGCTCTGGGCTGCTTTCAGAGAAGGACGTGGGCAAATAGATTTGACCAGAAGGCAGTTAGCATGATCAGGGCTCAGTCTGGGGTTATGGTCAGGACTCAGTCTGCTCACGCTAAGACCAAGGTCAGGGCTCAGCTGAGCAGAGGCCAGAGTCATGGCTCAGTCTGGGTTCCAGTTCAGGATTCAGATTGAAGCTGGAATCAAGGCAAAGCCTGAGGTCAAGGTCAGGGCTATACTTGGGGCTGAGGCCCAGGGATCAGTCTAACCAAGGAGCGCAGCACACCCAACTGGTTTATCTAACCGCTCAGCCCAGGCCATAGCTTCTGCCCCTTGGCTCGCCCCTCTGGCCCTCCCTGGGAACCTCCACCCCATCCCTCCCTACTGGGGTGCCTGCATTTCCATTCATGTGTGCGCCCTCCTGGCCAGGCGGTGAGGATTCCCAGGTCCATCTGTCTGCTGAGCTGTCGTGGGAACCAAGCTCAGCGAATGGGCCCAAGCCTGTCTCCCTCCGGAGCCTGCCTCCAGACTGTTGGCGTTCACGGCTCTGCCTCGCAGCCTCCGAGCTGGGCTCGTGCTGCTGAGTCCAAACGCCGTCCACTGCTCAGTTCCAGCCAGCCACCAAGCACTCCCCAGATGGGCAGGGACCGCGCCATGCCTGCCTGCCTCCTGCCTCAGGCACTGCTCGCTCCCTGCCAGAGGCCCAGGGGAGGTGCCCAGTCCCCAGACTCACAGCCCCGGGGGCCATGCAGGGCCAGGGGAGGGCAGGGAACCCACCTCCACCAGCTCCAGGGCCCTGAACACCATCCAATCAGTGATTGCCTCCAGCCTGGCCACTGGCCCTGGTGAGGTCTGGCCTCCCTCCAAGTGCCTGTCGGCCTGTGTCCTCTAACCACAGAACTGCCCAGAGGTCTTGGGGAAGCCAAGGTGATCCATGCAATGTGACCCCCAGGGACTCTGTCTGAGAAGCTCCAGGCAGCATAGAGTCCAGAATCAGGCAGCCCTGGGCTTGCATGCCGCTGCTGCCACTTCAAGCTGTGGGACCCTTGACGAGTTACCCTGTGCCTCAGTTTCCTCATTTATAAATGGGAGCTTCTAGGTTGTAGTGAGGGCTATTAGAAGGTGTAAATCCCCTGCAGGGGCAGGAGCTTGCAATCTCCATCTATTGTCTTTGTCTGCCTGGCACCCCTGCCCCCTTCTGGTTGTGACACCCCCTCCCTGTGCCAAGCTGACGCTTCTCCACAACCTGTGGGTCTGGTGGGGCAGCCAGTCCTGGGAGCTGGCCCCCATGGCCATGGAACAGGCACAAGCTGGCTCACAGACAGAAGCAGAGCAGAGACGGAGAGAGGCTGCATGAATGGTTGGTCTATTGACATCACCTGGTCCCCCAGAACCCTAGGGCCAGGCCCTCCCAAACTTCCCAAGAACAAAGCCAATACCTCCCTTTTAGCTGAAGCTGTTGGACATGGGCTCCTATCTCTGGTGACCTGGTGACAGGGTTCAGAAACAGACAGGAAGCACATATTATGGTTAAGAGCCTAGACCCTGAAGCCACAATATTGGGGTTCAAGTCCCAACTCTGCCACTTCTTAGCAGTATCACCTTAGACGAGTTACCCAAGCTCATAGGATGGCAGTTTCCTCATCTGTAAAGTGGGGATGACACTAGTATCCACTTCCCAGGGTGGTTATGAGGATTCTTTTAATTAATATATGGAAGACACTTAGAACAATACTTGGCTCGTAGTAAGTACGGTGTATAAGTAAGTACGGTGTATAAGTATCTGCTAGTATTTTTATTTTTTTTTAATCATCCCCTGCTCAGTTGTCCAGCCTAGAGGATAAGATGGGATACTCAACAAATATTTATGAGGTCCCTACTGTGTGCTCCACTCTATGATGCACTGGCCATAAGGCTGCTGTGGGCTCCATCCTCCAGCGGCTCACTGCTGGTGAGGCTGGGTGGCAGAGGAACTGCTACCCCAGGGCCGCCAAGATGAAGCTGCACCCATGGCACCCATGGCACCCACGGCACCCACTGCACAGTGAGCTGCTTTCTAGTAAGCCTGTGGGGTGGCCAGCCAGGGTTTGGGCCAGGGCTCCCAGTACTCATTTGGTCCCTGGAATCTTTATCTGATGCTGGGGAATTCTTTCTAAGTAACTGGGGCCCCCAAGACCCTGCTGACCAGTATCCTTGAGAAACCCCCTTATTTTCCCCAAACCTGACATCCCCAGCTCTCACTCAGGACCATGGAGAACAGGGGATCGTGGACACATTGAGAAAGTCATGCAGAGATCTGGGAGAGAGGGTATGGGCTACAGCAACGAGTGGCCAGAAGAGTTTCACGGGGACCCCAAAGGACAGAAAGTGACTTTGTTGTCCAAACAAGAACATTAAGAGAGGAGGAAAGAGGCAAACTAGGGCAGACTCTTAAGTTCGTGTAATTAAGCACCCCTACCCTAGGCCACATCAGGAGTGGGTTGTACCCTCTGATAGAGATGCGGCTGAATGGACAGAAAACCTGGGTCAGACAGTCAGCGGCTTCCTTGACAGCCAGATATCCCAATCTGAGCCATCTGGGAGGCAGAGGGGCTCAGACCAGTGGACAGAGAAAGGCAAGTTGAGCGTGTCCAGGAAGTGTCAGGGTCTGCACACTACTGCCAACCTGGTATGGGCACCAGTTCCAAGTTTTGGTTAATTAAACTTTGCAATATAATTTTTGCAAAATTATATGAAAATTGTGTAATAATAGTTATTAACAGTGACATCTGTATCACAGTGAGAGGCTATATGGCATGAGGGTTAAAAGTGGAGCTCCAAAATGCCTGGGTTTGACCAGTTTCACAACTTAATGGTTATTTCGCCTTGAAAAAAAGCACTTCCCCTCTCTATGCAACAGTTTCCTCATCTGTCAAATGGAAATAATGAAATAACATAATCGTATTCACCTCATAGAGTTGTTAAGAGAATTACATTCTAAGACTTACATGGGAGTCTTAGAAGAGAAACTGGCACATAGTAATAAATGTGTATTACTTGTTATTGAGCACTTACTATATATCAGGTACTGTGCTAAACACTTGATTTGCATCATTTAATTTAATCCTCACAACAATCTATGAGATAGGTGCTCTGTTAGCCCCCATTTCACTGATGAGAAAACCAAGGCACAGAGTAAGAGATTTCGCCTGAGCTCCCGTGGCTCTTAAATGGCTAGCTAAAATTCAGGTTCAAGATTGTCTGAATCCAGTTTAAACTCTCAATCAGGGGTCAAATACAAAAATGGGGATGATAGAAATGAGATCTAGCAGAAAACCAAAAATCGAGCTAGTTGTGTACAGTAGAGACGTGGGGGGTGTGGTGAACTGAAACTCTCATGCCCTGTCTAAATGGTCTAAATGGAGCAGACCGCTCAGTGCCAGCTGACCAATGCCCTGAAGGGCTCCAAGGGCTGACATTGTGGCTGGGCCCCGAGCTGAGTGAACCAAGTCCCCTGACCATAGAGCCTGGAGGCAACCATCTTCAAGAGACCATTGAAGCCAACCTCCCATGCTCATAGCCCCACATCAATGCTCAGAGTGTGAGTCTGTGGGTCATTAGTCTTCCTCCACACCCACCAGCCTCATAATACTGTTGCGTTATGTCCTTGTCCCGCTTCTCCAGTCCCTCCCTCAACCCCTAAACTCTACCTGGAGCTGGAAATCCAGAGAGCCTTCCCTAAGGGTTCCCTCCATCTCCTGCCTTAACTGGAACCAGGCTCTTTCTCGAAGACACCTCCTCCTCTGCAGCCCCCCAGAGATGTCGCTGTCTGCTCATCTACCCTGCAAGAATCAGAGGTGGGGTTGGTATCCATCTTACACTCCATTGCTCCTCTTCGGCCTAGAAAATAGTACACCTTTGAGGGCCATACCATTCAGCTCTACCACCCTTTCCCTTGCCTCATTGTGGTAGACATTGTTGTTGATATCATGATCAGCCCCCAGAAGCCTTTGGC